CTGCTAGATATCGTGCCATCCGTCAACAAGGCTACGGTCTCCCTCTGTCTACCTCTTCATACCAATGCCTTGCCCTCTCTACGCTCCAGTTCACTCTTCAACGCTATCCGCCGTCGCCTAAGTTGTTGGCAGCGAATGACCGTGCCATGCAGTTGCTGCATGCCGCTCCGCGTCGCAGCCTCTCTAAGCACATGCTCATGGGGCTGCGGAGTTTGGGCATTCGCATCGAGTTTCCGAACTTATCCATCCTTGCCAGCGCCAGTCAACTTCGTGTGCTCGCTAAATGCCGTGCTGTTCAGCCAGCTCTCACACGTCTGCAGGAGGTACGATCTAGTGATGAAATGTGTATTGATCGGAGGGTGAATGGGGTGGTGGAAGCATGGTTTATTCGTCCATCTTGCAGACTGCCACTGTGTACGCGTCTGTCTTCAGCCTGCTGCCGCAATATACAGATCGTAAAGGGATCCAGAGGTTTTTCTATCGGCAGCTGAAACTTGCGATTGCGACCCCGCTCGAGCACTGCCCGCAGTCTGGTTCTGTTGCAACGGTTGTGCGCATGGCGCCATGGTATCGCACCTACACATGTTGAGCAGCTTATTCATTGGATCAAGTATGTGGTCAAAAAATCCCAAGCGTACATTGGTGTCTCCATCTTGCGTATCGCATGTCGTGGCACGTGTACTACTTATCGGTTTCATTGTGCACCTCGTGGTTGTGTATTCGGCTGTGCTCGACCAGCGTCGGGCGCTGACTTGGGCGATTTGAAGGACGACAAGACTTGCCCGAGGTTTTACAATCTCTTGCTCTCTCACCTTGGCTCTTTCCTTACTGATGTCAATGGTGATTGGTTCTCTGATTTTACCCTTATTGCCCCCACCCCCTCTCCTGCTGCGCTGCTTCGATATGCTAGTTGTTGCGACGCTTTTGCGCATGCACACACGAGTGTGCGGCTGGGCAGCAGAGCGACTGTCCAGCAAGTGTTTCATGCCAGGCTTCGTCTGCACTCACGGAGGCACCCCGCCATCCGAGTGGCCCGGGGCGAGGTCGGAAATAACCAAAACCTTAACGCTGGGGAGAGCGGGTCCTGATAAAAGATCTTCCTCATCCTCCTCACCCTCCTCATCCTCATCCACAATTACGCAATATGACTGTTACTTGCCTCTCTCCCTGGATGACGTCCGGGAGACTTTCGCCCCCCCCCTTCGCGCATTGTTTTTTACACGCAGGACTCCCAATAAATGGATTTTCGCTTGGGTTTGTCGTTCAAAACGCTGCTCCCGCTGAAGCCCTGGCTTCACTTTCGGGCTCCCACTCGTTCCGAGTCGTGCTCCCGCCGCAGCGCTGGCCTCGTTTCCGCGCTTCCGCTCGTTTCGAATCGTGCTGCCGTTGCATCGCTGGCCTGCCTCATGTCCGCGCTTCCGCTCGTTCCGAATCGTGCTCCCGCTGCCGCGTTTGCGTCATTATTTCAGTTCCATGCCACGGCATGGTTTTCGGTCCTTCCAAACAGGCCCCAAAATCTTGAAAATGCCCCCCGAAACAAACATCGGAAATGATTACACATTCGGTGCCGATTCGTTGATTTCTGGGGCCGCGGACCCCCCCCCACTTTGGGGCGTCGCCACGTCATTATATGTCATGTTCGCGTTGATATCCAACACCATGTTATGCCATGTAATGTTATGCCATGCCACGACATCCGATTGTGCAATAGAGAAGAGATCTACGCCATGGTCAGGGATGGGTGGGAAGGGTAGGACGTCAGATATGACGCGAACGCACCTGGCTTCCCTCCCCACCCTTTCCTTCCCATCCCCTCCCCTTCCCTCCCCCCCCTCCCCTCCCCCCCCTCCTCCCCCTCCTCATCGCCACCTTTCTTCCGAGCTAGCGCGCGCTCGCCTCCTCGTCGCTCCCTTCCCCTCCGTTGGGCGCCGCGGCGCCATGGGGCGGAACCGCCTCGTGCCCGGCCGCGGGTGAAGGGCCCATGCCGAGGCTTGCGGCGCGAAGGATTAGAGCTGGCACCAGGGGCCAGGGCTGGGGACAAAGCGAGGCCGCGCCCGAGGGCTCGGGGCTCAGGGCGAAGCTGGTTTTTGGGCCGACGCTAGGGCCTGGAACTAACGCCCAAGGCGGCGGTGCAGTCTAGGGCTGTCGAGCCGGGATCTGGGGCGTGGGTTTTGGCCGAGGCCCAGGGCCACATGGTGCCGCTCCCTTCGACGCGCCCGCGCGACAACGATAGTTCCCGCGGCGAGAGCGCGGCGAAGTTTGCAAACGACGTCGCCGCTCTCACCCCCAAGTTTTCTACTGCGCTGGCCGCGGCCAGTTTCTCCGGCGCGCGCCCGGGTTTTTTCGGTTACGTAATTGGTGTTTCCAGGGTTTGGCCCTGCCAGTTTTTTCATCGCGTGCCCTGGGGAGTTGCTGGCGCGTGTTTTCAGTGCTGGCCACTCGTAGTTTTTCCAGCGCTGGCTTGGCCCACTCGACGTGGCCTAACGTGCTGTTCGCTGATGGGCGCTTGCGTCGCGCGACGGAGTTATTTTCAAGTGCAGCCTTCCTCCTATTTTCTCCCGCGGCCCGGCCAGTGTTTCCAACGGCTGCCTCGCTGCCCCAAATAGTTTTTCTGACCGATGGCTTTGGCCAGATGTGGTTTTACCCAGTCAACGATGGTTTTTGAGATGAATTTCTAATTACTACTCTTTTGAGCGAATTTAATGCGAGGGCGAAAATATAGTGGCAGTCAACCCATCCCGCCACTCCGCCTGGGTCACGCAAGAGCCTTGGAAACATTTGAGGGGGGGTTATTTGGGGGCTTTGTGGGGAGATTATTGGGAATTTGTTGGTCCACTTGGATGCGTTGGGGCTGCTTGGGTCGGGGGGCTCCTGGGAGATTGGGATCATTATGTTGGAAGGATTGGCTTCCGGTGGTGCGCTTTTGGGGCCCCTGTTTAGGGCGTCTCGGGAGCGTGTTGGGCCCCTAGACAGCCCCCTTCTGAGGAGAGCGCTGGCGGCGTATGTGTGTCATCCAGCCAGCGGCGCAACGCCGCAGGGTGCTCTCGCAGTAGCGAGATCGGTGGCGCCAAGGGCCCCCGAGCGCCCAGCAAGGCGTTGAAAGAGGGGGACGAGAAGGAGGAGGGGCAGGAGGAGGAGGAGGAGGAGGAGGAAAGGGAGGTGGAGGAGGGGGTGACGAGGAGGGGGACGGGGAGGAGGGAGAGGACCAGTGTAAACCTGATATTCATCACCGATGATGGAATACACCCCACCTCCAATCTCCCTATTCAGACCCCTACAAGGGTTCATGTCCACTGAGGGAAGTGCCCCATTGCGGGGGACAACCGTACAAAAATCCTGAAGCGCGCCCAAACACCATTCTCGGGATTTCCACGCCACGAGCCAATCTAAATGTGAGGTATTTTGGCGATCCGGATTCGTGCTGGAACACCACTCCTGGAATTTCAACGAAGCGAATCAACGCAAATGTTGCGCCCAGAATTATGAATCGATCCAACACGCCATTTGTGGTACGCTAACAATGGAAATTGGTGAAATGTCTGCGAGCTTTTAGAATGAATGCACACGGCGCTAGGGCGAGAGCTCTCGCAAGCGGTCAAGACGAATGCGCGCAGCGCTAAGGCGAGAGTCATACCTTGAAAACGAATCGCCCTAAATCCGTAAAACGTTTGCGAACTTTCAAGACGAATGTGCGCAGCGCTAAGGCGAGAGCCGCATGTTGAAAACGACCCGCCCTCAATCCGTGAAATTATCGCAAATGTGTAAGCGAATGCGCGTGGCGTTAAGGCGAGAGCCACTTTGTGAAATCCACACACCTTCAATCCGCGAAATGGTTCCAACTTGTTACGACGAATTTGCGCGGCGCTAAGGCGAGAGCCGCATTCTGAAAACGACCCACCCTCAATACGTGAAACCTTGTGCAATTTTGTTGAAACGACTGCACGTGGCGATAAGGCGAGAGCCACATTTTGGAAACCACCCGCCCTCCATTTGCGAAACGGTCTTTAATTTTCAGCTTCAGGGTCATAAGTGGTGAGGGAGTCTCAGGCAAAACGCCCGGCCCGCTCTTTCGACCGGCCTCGGGGTGCGACAGGGAGGATCTATGTATATGGAAAAGCACTTGAAGGGGATGGGGAGTAAAAGTAGGGAGGTCTAGAGCGAGGGGGGGCAATGAGAAGGAGGAGAAGGAGGAGGAGGAGGAGGAAACTCGTTCAGACATCTGGGGATGCTTGGGGTGTGAGTCAGAGACAGGGGAGGAGGAGAAGGAGGAGGAGGAACAAGCGGGCAAGGATCATTGGAGGACAGCTGTAGAGGTTGCACTCAGGAGGCTTACGCCATTCCGCTGACCCGTGGAGGAAAGACGAAGTCCACGGGTGAGCCTTCTTGGGAGCCTCTTTTGGGCCTCTTGGGGACCGCTTCGGGCCTTTTTGGACGCCTGCTGGAAGTTTCGGGAGCCTCTTGGCGCAGAGGGCTCGAAATGTCAGCTTGAGTTACCCCTGGGGGTCCTCCTGGAGCCTTCTTAAGCCGTCTTGGAGGTCGCTCGGGCATTCTTGAGGCCATCGCGGTTGTTTTTGAGTTCTCCTCGGCGTGTTGGAGCCCAGCTTGAGCCAGCTGAGAGTCCACGGAGTGTAGATTTGGAGGCTCCGGAGGCCCCGCGGGTGCGTTGCAGAGCCCAGTTCCTCCTCTCCTCCTTCCCCCCGAAATGCAATTTGGGACCCTGGGGGGGGGAAGGAGGACACAGGACACCAAATGTCTCGCACGCCTTTTCCCCCCCTGCGCGAGAGGGTCGGCAGATTTGCACTCAGACGTGTGTTGGCCAGATTGTGTCCCCAGCCCAGCCCAAGTTATTTACGCGGCTCTATTCAGGTTCTCTTTTCGTTTTCCCCATCCTTCCATCTACGCCCCCTCCACTCATTTGCCTTCTTGTCCCATTCCCTCCATCCCTGCTTGGTCGCCTTCCCTCCTCCGACGCTTGTGCCTTCTTCGAACATCGCCTCCAGGAGAATGCCGTGAAGCTACGCACCGAG